CTCGGTCTTTTCCTAGTCTTTGGTTTGCATGTTACTGATTCGGTCACTGAGCTCATCAAAGTAATTATCAACAAAGCGAAACATCTGGATGACGGCGCTGAGCAACAAGATGTCACAATTCATGTCCAACTCCAACTCCTCGCTGTAGTTCTTCACTGGAATGATACAGGACAACGGCACACCGAGCCGAGAGCCGACCTCCTGCATCTGTATGACAGAACACAGGAAAAAAGTATTAGTACCCTCATCTAATTTTTTACTCACTAAAAAAGAGAAGAAAAAAGTACAAACTCACCACATCCTTGATGTAGCCACTCTTATAAACATTTCTCACATCCTCTTTCACCAGTGGACAGGCTTCATCTACTTTAGTGAGGAGGACCAGCTGAGGAATACCTGGAAACAAAGGAGCAGGAAGATCACTTCCAGACTGCCAGAGATGTTTATGTATTGGACTGTAAGGATTTTAGGAACACATCTGGACTCATTGAAGATCAAATGAGCTGAAGTTGAAAACTTTGATCACATGAAACAGTCTGGATGCAAAACTGATCTGCCGTCAGTTATGTTATTGTATTTTTTGGTATACTTTTTAAAAAATATATAATTTCACGAACTTTGATTTACACATCACTGCATTTTCTTTTGATTTTGTTTACATGGCATGGATTGTACATTCCACATAATCTTGTTCAGAAAAAAAGAATACAATGAAACTGAAGAGGGACTCAGTTTTACTGACCCATTAAGTTGACCTTTCTGCGGATAGCATCCAGCTTCTCCTCCAGCCCTTTGGGCATGATGGAGACCTTGGAAGCATCAATAACATAGGCCACACAGTGGATCTTGTCCTTGAGCCCAGGAGATGTGCGATAGCCGTGGGACTCAGAATGCAGAGGAGCTGAAGGGTTGAACTAAATGACACATTTGGGGAGAAACAGAGACACAGTTTGAGTCGACTGCTGACAAATCTGTGTTTCATACATTCTGTGACCCGCTGATATAATATAGCACCTGATAACGGTCTGGCAGGTGACCTTTGAGGATGCTGCTGAGGTCGTCAATGTCAAGCCCCGCCCCTTTGCTCTCCTCCAGTCCCATGGTATCACACAAGATTATTGGCAGAGGTTTCCCTTCACGCCCATCTTTCACAGAGTAGGAGCGAAACTGTTTACAGTACAATGAGAATGAGTGACAGACCACTGAAATCAGTCACAATAAGTGGAAATCATCAGACACCAGACAAAGACCTGTGTGGTGAGGCTGGTGGAGGAGGAGCCAGAGATAGCCTGGCTGGTGACGTGGCCTCTGAATACAGAGTTGACAGAGTTAAAGAAGCTGGACTTTCCAGCTCCGACTGGTCCAATGAGCAAAACCCGAGGCTGGGTCACAGAGCTGACTGTGGGTTTGTAGCTTTTAATGCTCTCAATCAGCTCCTTCCTCTTCCTGTACAAAAAAAGGAGATAAAGAACGTTAGAAGTCATATTGACTGTGAAATAATTTGTACTACTGT